CCCCCTTAGGGGTGCAGTTTCGTAAAATCCTTTCTTAGCGGATGCCTAAATCATAACATCTACCTGCATGCCAAATTTCAGCCCGATCCGTCAAGTGTTTGGGCTGTGCGTTGATTAGATCACTATGTCAGTCAGTCAGTTAGTTAGTCAGTCAGTCAGTCAGTCACCTTTGAGTGATTCGTTGTAACGAATAATTGAGGACTCTACCCCAATGTTACACTATGAGCTATCATAGACTACTTTTAACCACTCCTCTCTCACATACTCGTAGTTATAGATCGTTTCATCCACAAGACGCGCCCCACCAATTTTTGGTCGAGGGAAGCGCGGGGTGCGGGGAGTTTGATCCAAGCAATCCGAGCGTCATTATTGTATTGTGCGTGCACACTCATTGATAATTTAGCGTGTACCGATAACACTCAAACATTAGCGGAAGAATCATGGGGCGCGTTTTCGTGGATGAAACGATCTATATTATGTAAGTTAACTTCAAAATAAGCTATTTACCTACCCTACTTCAATGTCACAAGCCCATATCAAGTTGCATAATTACAAAACCTTTGAACATTACTCATCTTTACACCTTTACGACTAAACACCTGTTTCGGCTTTACAACCCAGCGCCTCTACCTTCGCTAAGACAATACTCATTGTCATCCCTTAACACTATTGTTTGCAGCACGTGGTCACCATTACAGGGGTGTGGGAACCAATGGGTCATGGCGAAAGATAAAGAAAATATCTTGTTAACACCTAAACAATGGTGTAATAAAACACCTGCAATTTAGGAGACACTGGTTGTAACCGGATGAAGGATGTTTAGATAATATGCTTATTTATTTATTTTCTTTTTTATGAACAGCACATTTTTTTTGCAAAATGATACCTATTTCGACTTACTTAAGACGTAATATAATTTACGTTGATGTTCCGTCATCTACGCGTAAAAACGAAATGCAAGTTTGTCGCGGTAGCTTTTCAAATTGTGCCAAACGCGTGACTCTACACCAAAGATGCACAAACCGAAGCCCGCTAATAAATATAAGGGGTAGACCTTACATTAGAATTTGATTCGAGATCGTGATCGCTTTGATAACTCTTCAAGCTTCGTTCAAAAGCACTTTAAGCTCCACTTTCTTCACAAGGCAAGGCAAAGCGCCAAGCGAGCTTCTGGCTGTTTTTTTTTTATATCTGGCTGTATTTCCAAAGAAATAAAACGGAGTTCCCGTTCAATACCACCCTTATTTGAAGGTCCTGACGCCGGCTAGTCAAAGACGTGAAACAAGCCTGATCCGGCGACCAATTAAAGGTCCACAATAGCGCGTACCCACGTGCGAACCTTAAAGGTACAACTTCCTAATAATGCGTAGTTTAGGGGACAGGCAACTAATTAGACTTGACATAAAATACTTCTATGCAAAATGTTTTAACCACCTTAATATTTTTTTCTACTATTTTTTTTTATCCACAACGAGGAAGCTCTTGGCCTGTATCTCACCTGATGGTAAGTGATGATCAAGCCGAAGATGGGATTTGCTTATACTCGGATTTCAATCATAGAATTTCATTTCGTTCGGCCAAATTAAAGTAATTTTTTTCTAGATGAATACTCGTAGTGTAACTTTCTAACATTATTTGAATTCAACATTTAAGTATTTCTTATTTCCAGGAATTGGCCTTAATATTCAAACCTATTAAATAATGTTATAAGGACACAACAATGTTAGTGATTTATTTTTGAAGGCGAGTAATGAAGCCAAGGGTGTAATAATCAATGTCCACGCGTGTCATGCGATGCGTTGATTTTCAACACACTTGCAAGAAATAAATCAAATTTTACTTACTTAAAGTTCATAATTAATGAACTTTTGGATTTAAATGCTCAATTATTAACTTCATTACACACCATAACATATATTTTGTGTACACTATTTCTACAGCAATTAATTTAACGTACGAGCATAACATTTTTCTTCATTGCCAGATAAAACACTGAACGTGTTTAAAAAAAAGTCCAATTTGTTCCACATTCAACTCTACTTTTCCAACACGACACTTAACAATGTACGTACTTTGTCCCCTAGCCTAAGTTCCGCCGGTCTTTTTGGTTAAAAAAAAACTGTATCGGTCATTCATAAATTGGTGAATGAACACCTACCTGGGCAACCGGGATGTTTTCCTCAATTTGTTTACTTTTTTAGCCGGATGTGATTTGAGACCGTTACGGCCTCCTGGATTGTGAGAAACATTTTGTGAATGACAGCTTTTTTTAAAAGCCCGCCTTCTTGGGAACCTTGTGGGATGACTTGAGCTTTTGTTGATTAAGTTGTCACATGAGAATTTGGGGCTGGGTGAAAGTATACGTGACGTCAGTATTGTAAAAAAAAATTAAATACATTTCATTTCAATTTGCAGTAAAAAAGGTTTTCTACCAAGGCACTTACAGGGCAGATAATATGTACCATCCTAGATTGCGGTCAAATACCTGCCGTGTTTTGCATAAAAAAAATTATAGTTAACCACTTTGTTACTAAAGTCTGCGAACAAAATTAAAAATTGAGAGTTTTATTAATAAATACAGTATTATAAAATATTATTTTAATATTAATAATAAAGAATTGGGCGCGAGCGAAGTAAATAAACAACATGAAAAAATCTAAATGCCTAAAGGCGGGACTTTTTTCAAGTTGTTTATTTAAAATGAAGTTAGTATTGTACTCAAATGCCTCTATCTACCTCCTGCCTAACTCTACACTCACTAACACCGACAAATCTCGGACCTACGTGGGGTCAAAGCTACGGCGCTACATCGTAGTCGCTACGAGCTCAAAATAGGGGTGTCCACTTTGAAAAAACATCGATGTTTTTTTCGATTCGATATTTTGAAACTGTACATCGATTTCTTCCGATGTATCGGAAGAAAACATCGATGTTTTGTATAAATCGAGTACTTTTTAAAGATTTTTTATAATCCACTAATTTAAGCATTGTATTATTAAAAAACAGTAAAAGCCATACATGAGAAAAATCTTCATTATACAGTGTGAGTCACGTTAAAGTGCACATATGAAAATAGGTGAAACTAGACCTATTTTTATCGACAAAAAAGAGGTCAAAAATTTTTTTTTTATTTTTTTTTTATAGATTTTTTTTTCTTCCAATTACTTCTCGTAAAGAAAACGTAATAACTTTTAAACTAAGAGGTATATCCTTATCAAATGAAAATAGTAATAATACTAAATAATAAGCGATACTAAAAAAATACATAAAATACCTTTCACTTTTTGAAAAAAATCGCTTTAAAATTCGTGTTTTTTTGGTTATTTGATAAATTTCTCCAAATAATGCCCCCACCCCCATATGGGTTATATATGCATATGTTGTGATAGGGATAGAGACATGCAATTTTTGGTTTTACAAAAGTAATACGATAGAGAATAATACAAAGTAATAAAAAATACCTGTTATAGGGGCATTTTTTGGAAAAAATTATCAAATAACCAAAAAAACACGAATTTAAAAGCAGATTTTTTTCAAAAAGTACAATTTTTTATTATTTGTTGGCATTTTCTGGGTATTTTATGTTTTTTTTAGTATCGCCTGTTATTTAGCATTATTACTGTTTTTATTTTATCAGGATATACCTCTTACTTTAAAAGTTATTACGTTTTCTTTACGAGAAGTAATTGTAAGAAAAAAAATTCTTTAAAAAATTAAAAAAAAATCTCAAAAATTTTTTGCACAAAAAAAACATCCGCATTTATTTTTATAAGTTTGTTATATCCTAAGTATTTCCAGTGTTCTTTTGGAAGACTTTGCAAAAACAACAGTTTGTTTAAACGTTTGCCTTTCAGGCTATTTCTTTGTTGATTGACACAAACAAACTCGCCAACCGACACGCGTGACGCGACATTGACATATAACAGTTTTTTTTTTAATTGTCACTAGAGACACTACTCACTGCACTCGTACGCAGTGTTGCCAACATTTTTAAAATACAAGTTGGGTTGTCCGTATAAGTAAAATTTTAGTGGTCAGACTTGAGTTTTATGAAATTTTAATTGGTTATCATCGATTCGATGTTTTAACACTGAAAACTTAAAAACATCGATACATCGAGTATTTCAATAGCTTTTCAAAACATCGGATCCATTCGATGTATCGCATTGTAAACATCGATGTTTACGATACATCGATGTATATCGAATATCCCTAGCTCAAAACACGTTAGAATCAATTACTTACTATGCGGCCTGTGTATAATTATAATCCAAACATCGATAAAAATAGACAACACTGACAATTATGATTCTTTTTATTAGTTACTGTTTAGACAAAAAAAATGTTTTAAGTACTAAAAACCGGTTTTCTACATTAGCTAAGTTATTTTTAAAATTGCTAAAATATTTATGTAGGTAATTTGCGTAGGTTTTCTTTTTACGATTGAAAAAAACTTAGGTACTAGGTCGCTTACATTTTTTCTAATATGTATTTAATTATAACTTAATTGTATGAATTTGCAATTCATTTAATTTTATTTATTATTCATTTGATTAAATTATACACGTCTCACCTGCATGTAAATAATGGTTTAAAATAAGTCCTTATTATAAACTAATTAATGTACAAAAACGTTTAAATAAAAGTTAAGCGACATCGGCTTTATTATTTACTACTAGACCTCAAAAGTTCAAAATTAAGCATTTTGAAACAATCAAAAAAGCATTTTCAATCATAATAATTATCTTTCCATTTACAAAACCCAGTTTATTCGATATCATACGAATTTTACACGCTAAATTTCATCTTTAGATATTATTACTATTATAATGTAACCGCAACTACACCAACAGGATTCAAGTTGCTAGTGGTAGAAAAAAGCGTGAATACCACCCCCAATCAGGTGGTAACTAATTACTAACAAGCGAATTAATCATCGTGCGAGATAAATCAGACGCGCGTGCCCGCTCCGTGCGGTACTATTTTGGTAGGCGGAGCGAGTGAATCAGTCGAGCGCCAGTCGAGCGCAGGCGGCCGACGCGTACGGAACGCGAGCGTGACGTGAAGTGTGAACGGACCGCGATGGCGCGATGAGGGCCTGCGGGACGGCGGCGTGGTGCTGGGGCTTGGTCACCGTCGTCGCCTGCGGTCTGGCCGCGCCGCGCCGCCTCTACTGCGAGCGAGCCGACGTCGCCTGGAGGGCCTACCGGGCCCCCGCGGCCTTCGAGGCCCGCGTGCAGTCCCTCGCTCCGGACGCAGCCACCGTGCAGGTGCGCCGTGTCCTCCGCCGCCAGGGACACTGGCCGCGGGAGGACTCCGTCATCAGGCTCAAGCTGCCCCCCCAGGAACCCCTAGAGTGCACCGGACGTTTCGAAGTGCCCTTACAGAACCGCCGCGACTACATCGTCTTCGCTGAACGGAGAGGCCACGCCGCGGTCGCGCTCGGACCGCCCTTGCGGAAGAAGAAGAATCTGCTCCGGCGCATCCGAGCCGTCTACAAGCCGGGCTACAGTGAGTGCCTTGTGTTATGTGTTGTGAGCAACGAGCCACATGGTAAGGTACCCCCGATTTTTCTTCTCTCCATGTGGTTCAGTTGCATGTCTATTTTTAAGATAGTTCAAAGAAAACCACGCAGACGTTAATAACAAAGCATAAATTACATATACACTGTACACAAATAGAATTTAAGATGCCAATAAATTTTACTGGTAGCAAATTTTAATTTGCAAGAGCAGGTGTATGGTGGGAACAAGTAGCTATTACGAGTCCATTTTAGGTGCAGTGCTCAGGGTTGCCAACCCCGGAACACGATTATTTAATTCATAATTCCTCAATATAGTTAATTTTCATAATTTTCTGTACTTACTAACGGCCAAAAACCTAAAGCGCTTTAAATCCAGAACTAAACACAAAATAAGTAACGTTAACATGTCTGCTTTCTTTAAACCCATTAAAATATACGAAATTTTAAATAACTCTTTCAATTTTCATAAGATCAATAAAAATCGATATAAATTTGCACAAACCCAAAAGTGCAGCCCCAAAGCCCATAATATCAACTCACTCTATCTAAAAAATATTCAACATGACTTTGCAAAACCCTTCCAAACCCCATAGATCTATCTTGGCAACCCTGGAGTCATGGGAGTAAGGTGGTTATACACTACAGCGGGCGACTGCACGCGCTCATTTATGCACCCCTCGGCTCAGGGGCAAGGAAATAGGAGCTTAGAGGCTATAAATATATATATATAAATATAAGTGGCGGATAATAGCAATGGCAGTTAAGATCCGTATCGTCTTCGGCTTGTGTTGCAACGATTACCGTTAACGCTCAATCGATTTGACAATTTGATCCCGGTGACTAACTATCCGTCCTTAGTCACGTACCCTTAATACCCAGTTCTGTTTACTGAATTTTTCGTTAATTTGATAAGCACTCTACATTTACTTTTACTTCTAAACATAACTATTTATTTCAAAATCTACAAAAATAACAATGATCTATCTTTATAAACTTATTTAATCATTAAACAATATCAACACCACTGTATTCCTGGCAAAAAATAAATAGTATAAAGAAGTTTGCTCAATAGCATTACTAAAACTTATCGCAAAAAAACTACATGAAACTTGAAAAGTTAATATATTTTCAGGTAATTCATAGTTTAATTATAATAAATCTAAATTAATGTTTTAAAATCTGTGTAATGACGAGTTGATCTTGATTTTTATCTAAGCAAATTATTACCAAAACACCTGAAATTACAATCGCTTGATCGACAAATTATGCGTAAGAGCAAATCCTTTGCTACCATTCGTTTCACAATTCCGATTTACGCTGTCCCAAACAAAAGCCCGGAATGTCCCCACGAACCGGGACACCTGGCAACACTACGCCGGACGGACAGGTCGGAACTGGAGCGTATAATGACGTCACCCATTCAGAGCCGTGCCGAATCCGACCGCTGACAGTGGACTCCCGGTCTAGACCGACCCACGGTCTTATAGGAATTTAAACTAGAATTTGGAGACAATAAAGTCCAAATTTCACCGTGATGAAGGATTTAATGACGCGAATGCATCCACCTGTTCTGTCAATAGAACCTCTTGATGAGACAGGTGATCAAAATGACTACCAACACCTTCGAAGTACTCCACGTACTCCGATACTTTAAAATGTTGATGATTATTTTTATTTGTCGTTGTTCCTCATTTTCTTTAATTTTTATAAATATTTTCATTATTTTAAAATCAATTTCAATATTCTGCTTCTTATCCTGTCATCGAACCAATTATGTTAAAACATTTTGATATTTACTATCCGGAACAAGATTACACCTTAAGCCTTGTGAAACGCAATGCAAATAATCCAATAGCAAATTAAGATTAGTAATATTTTCACTATTATTGTACGATTCTTTACTACCATTTTCATAAATGCTCATAGATACTGCATAAAGAATAAGTCAAATACATATCTATCTGAGGAAATCAATCTCCACATACTACCATTATAACTCCGTATCACTGGAAAAGTTTTCCAACCATAGTGCTGCTTCTGTTTACACGACGCTTGAAGCACATTGTTTAATGTTTACCTTCTGGATATATCCTCAGTTTTTCCTTTGTTAATGTTCTTTCAATATAGCCTGTAAATCTGTCTCAAAGATTTTGATGTACACACTCAAAACTTTCGCAGCTTTTAATGTGATGGCTTGTTTGGACTCGTCACTTATTTGTATGGTGTTTACAAATCATCGCAATGCCAAAAATTCTGTTTACGATTCGTATGAAGACGTTTTGATATGTTTTGTAAATATGAGTATTTGTAGTATGCATTTTGCGTGGAATTTGCTAAATCGGTTATTGGCACTTACAAATTTAATCGAATTCAGAGTAAACATTGGTATAAGAATAGACATTGCAATGAACGTTGGATTGTTCAAAGATTTGACGAGCGATAGCGCTTCCGTATGAAGACATCACATCATTTACAATCCCCCTAAAAGCAAAAGCATTTACAAACATGTATATTCTACATTAATCACTAATAGAACGATCTTTTAATTTTCTCAAAGCGTCGTGCGCTGCCGTCACGCCTTGACAGCCGTCCATTATTCCTGCCATGGTCCGATGACTCCTGTCCTATTAAAATATTAACATACGTAGTATTATAAATTTTACGATCAGAGTTGTTAAGATTTGAAGATAATACTCAAATAGCACTAGCAAAGACTAATCTTGAAGATCTAGTTATAAAAGACGCGGTTACGAATGGAAGACGAGCGCGCATATTCTATATCTACTGAAGATTTAATTGTCTCAGTAAAAAACTTGGCATGATATTGTTTGGTATAAAAGACGGTATGTGCACATCAGATGTTAGCAGCGAGTAGACTTATATTTTAATTAATTTACTACAAAGCACTTATATTTTTACAGCATATTTCACGATGTTATTTTAATTAAATCAAATTCTAATCTCGTAAGTTTTCATAGAAGCAGGAACAGCTCATCAATTTAGATGAATAGACGTTCGTTTGAATCTACGAGTTGAAAAGTCATAAAAATCATTCATTTTCTGCAAATAGCCCTATACTAACTATATATAATAATATAACTTTAACCCCGTCATTGAAAATTGGACCCGATTTGATCGTTGACGTGTCCCCACTATTCCCAGTAGATCATCTAATTCCAACTTCGGCCATAATCTTTAAACTCCATAATATTTAAACTGAACCCTAGCTCCGACAATCAATGGCGGTGGCCTTGTAGTGAACATCCGCACCCACCCATGGTGCCCATTGACGCCCGACTAATCGACCCGGCCTGATTGATACCGTGTTTAACTTTATAGTCATTCAGGCAAATTAGGCATTAGACGAGTGATGAATGACAACTTAAATGCACAGACTAGGACTTATACTGATGATAATCATTAGCTAAGTAATTAAGATGTCTGTTATTAAGCGTTAATTAAATCAATGTGATATTTCTGTATCTAATACTTAACTTAAAACAATAGCGTGATAAACTAAGCTATCAATTGATTCTTCACAAAGTATCCTAAAGACGCACGCACGAGGTCTATAGAACTCATTGCAATTTTTTTCTTAGTATAATAGCTCTTTATACAAAACATCCTTCTTTGGGACAAAATCAGTCATAAATTTTAACGATCTAGTAAGAATCGCATAAGAAATTTAGCTGAGACTTATTGACGTCGAGTTCATATTTTTTAAACGTTTACCAAACCCTAAAACATCTTTAATTTAATTTTATTTTGTAAAGATTGAACAGTATTTGGTAAGGCCTCCCTAGTTAAAATTAAAAATATTTGCGAAATTGGATATCTAAATGGATATCTGCATTACGCTTGCTATTTCCCCTAATAAGGAAGGAATGTCTAAAATCCTTACATGATTCCAATATTAATGAGGATGTTATAATTTAAAAGACCCGATCATCACTCATTGGGTTTCTTTAATTCAATAGCTTTAATTTGAATTCAAAGAGTCCGATGATCGTTTTTGGCTCATCGTCGCGTATCTTTTGATCTAGGTCAATACAAACTGGATTCAGAAGCAAATGTCCCTTGTAAGGCTCGCGATCCATATCCTTAGGTTCCAATGATTGGTGCAGATCAAATGCCTGGGAGGTTTATGATGATTTCTGGTTACGATGGCGAAACGTTTATTTTCGTTGGAGACATCGTAACTGAGGCTATCGTATTAGTATCAAAAATTACTTTAAACACCATGTTTTGATTCATTATAAAATCCAATAAGATTTCAGATAACTGTCTCAATTTTAGATAGGTGAATTAAACACCAATAATCATCGTCGTCAAGAATTTTTTGCGTATTGAATGAATCACAAAATGATTAGAATTACATAAAAATATTCTTTTAACTAATATTATCTAGCTAGTATGTATCGCTGTTGGTTTCTATAAATAAATAAATTGCATTCCTAGAAAAGAAACCATACTTCAAAGCAACAAAACACCTAGACTTTTTAGAATTGAAAATTCCTCAGCTGATTACCATGACTCGTAATTACCCCATTAAAGGCTTTATCTTAGAGAGTGCAAAGTCTTAGATTTGTGGACCCGCAAGAAATCTGCATGGCACTCGCACCGTGGCGGGTGGGCTCTAATGCGAGGATTACGCACCTACCGCAGCAGGGAAGTAATGACGTCGAGGTGGGAAGCGGGAAACAAACTGGGGAAAGAATTGACGATGTGCTAGCTGAGAGAGGAATATCGATTCGGGTATGATAATGATGATATTGATGTGATGTCGGTCAAAACTTGAGCCGTGATTTTGATTTCTGATTGAAAAGATGTTTTAGTAACACAAATTGATCGGGTGATAAAAATATAACATAGATGTATATGGATAACATTCTTGGTGTTAGAAAACTACATTTACTCTTCTAGATTTTATTTCCATAATTTTTAACAAAGAAAAATTTCTAACAATAAACGACAAAGGAATTCGCAA